TTGGGATGTCCTTGTCCAGTTTTATATTGTAGTATGCTTTTAAAATATCTTTTTCCTGCTTATCCCCTTCAATAAATTCACTTTTACATGTAATTGCATATAATATACTCAATAAATTTGTAAAATACAGGATAGTGGCTTAGAAGAAAAAACATTAAATTATCACATGCATTAGATTGCATCTTCTTTTTAGTTCCTCCTTTCTAAGATCCCTATGTCCTCAAGGTTAAGTGAAAAGCTCTAGTCCTATGGCTTTTCATTTCAACCAAAGTATAGAATTTGTGCCATTGATTGAACCAATCCTTTCACCAACAAAGTTTCGGAATTTTATAATATTGTATCAGCAACAAGACTTGCAGGCCCTCTTCTCCATTGTATTTATTCTCTCTCTGTATGCAATCTTAAAAACTTCATTATCTACTGCTAGGTATTCTTCTAGCGACCTGGATAGCAACATTTGGCTTGAACAATTGGAAATATTCTCACGTATTAATTAGCTTCTTTAAGGAAATTGTATTAGCGCCTTTCTTTGTCGGTGTCATTTTCACAACCCATTGCGTGTTAGCTTCAATTTGCTTGCAACTAAGCATTTCGGATGAGTATTATCCTGTTAAAAAAAGCAACACATCCAAATTAGTCAGGTGTTATATTTTCTTCCCAAAAGCAAATTACATGACATGATTAGGAAAAAGAATTCAACAAAACAAAAGCTTTTCAAAAAGTGTAAAATTTACAAATGACTTCCTCAAGGTGTCGATGGCCATTTCTCTAGCTAGCTTGTGCACAAGGACTTATACAAGTATTTCTTATAACTTTAACCCAGGAACATTGCATAGATACAAAAAAGGTTTTGCATGCTCAGACAGAAAGAACAAGGTCAAACGTTATCAATCCCATTGTTCTTCAATATCATATTAAATGAATTTATTCAATTATGCTGATTACCTTAGATGTATCACAAGGAAAGGAAAGAGTATAAAAGAGAGACAAAATTTGCCCTGAAAATAGGTTGGAGTTGCAGTGAAGGATATACGCTCTGCCAGAGATGGAATGAAAGTTTATCACATTCCAAAGACCGGTTCCTTTTCAGCCCTGTTAAAGAGTCAAAATACGGGTCTGTAACATGCCGCTTGGAGCGCCTATATAACATGGTAGAGATAAAAGAACGCTGAAATCCTATACTTCAAAATGTTATAATTATGGACCATTATACGTAATTAAAGGAATTATATTTCCACTGCGACATAATGAATCAGCCGAACGCATAAACAGCGTTCCATTGCTTCAAATTAAATTTAAATATAATATCCCAAATAACTAATTTAAAATCATTTAAACCCTTCAATCCATGAATAGCATTAATTTTTTTCGTTAGAAAAAAACATCATCACATGCACAACTATATTTGCTGTCATATTGGATACATGTACAATCCGCTGTGCTCTCATGGACACATTTCAGAAAACAGTGATTACCTTTAATTTAATTTCTCCAGCTATTCAAACTGTTAAAGAGAAGCCTCCGAATTTACTGTGTTATTTTGAGTTTATAATGCTTTTCGACCTTTCAAGGGATAATCTCAGTTCCTTTATTGTATAACTTCACTATCCCCAAGGCTCCTGACTGCAAATTGGAATTGCAACACATAATTTTGCCTTGGGGAGAAGCTGAGTCCATAACAACGTATCACTTTGAAAGTATCTCCAATTAGCAAGAGGAAGAGGAGCTTCCAAAATTAGGAACTATATACTATATACTATATATAGGGGAACAAAGGATTGAAAATCCAGAATTCCAAGTTCATTACCTATCAAAGAACGAATAAGCTACTTTCAATACATGTCATGAAAATTTCCAATATTGCAATATAAATTCTCCAAGGTCTTTGCACACCTGAAGAGTTGTAACATTCATATCTTGGCCAGCACACTGACATATGGGCAAATAGAGACTGCATAATTCACAAACCTGCAGTAAACTTTTCTCAACAGAGAAAGGAGAAATAATATTCGTTAGCCTTGGCTAAACAACAGAGTAGTCTGTAGAATGTAAGACTTGTCTGTAGTAGCTTTACAATTCTCTCTAACAAAACTGAAATTCAAATACTTCTTTCATATAGTTGTGAAAGGATCGAAATTAGTCTGGCACTTTCAGTCTTTTGAAATTACCTTGCCAAATTTTTCAACAATTTCTTGACACGAACCAATTCCCCTTATAGAGACTAATTGCTCCAAACAGCTAGACGCTAACCTGCAAGAGACTTAAACCCAAATTTAGTTTGGAAGAAGCATATTAACTTAAGTTCTGATCTAACTTTAAAGGCACTACATTTTCTATGATAAACACGCCATACCTCTGGCTGCAAAAGTGCTTCAGTTTCCTTGAGCTGCTAATAAAGGTCCAACACCAAATGCACGAAAAGTTTTTAAAATTTCAAAGAGCCTTACATTTTCTATGATAACCAAACAGCCATATCTGGCTGCAAAAGATGCTTCAGTTCCTGAGCTGCTAATAAGGTCCAACACAAAATGCACAAAAAGGTTCTTCTTTCTCAACAAAGACTGCAACAATGAAGGCAAGACATGGACCGCAAAGCAGTTAGTTTTTGCTTCTTACTATTGCCTAAGCAATTAAAACAAATTCTTATAACAAGCAGTGAGACTCAAACATACAATGCAACTCAATTAAGAAAGAAAACCCAAAAAGAAAAGAAGAAGAAACCAGTTTACATGAGACACATAATTAAACTTCAAATCTACCAAATTTGAGTTTTAAACATCTACGACTTCAGTATTTAAGCATATAAAAAACAAAAAGAATTAGGATTCACAAACGTGCATGCACTAACATAGATAAGGATAAGACATGAGAATGTTTCTCCCCTCTTAATTCCATGTTTTATTATACGCAGAAAAACAGAATATTAAGATGCTATAGGGAGTACATAATTATTTTCCTCTGCAGTCCGATTTTAGATAATTCCTATCAAGCTATCAGCAGAGGAAAGACCAAAAACTACAGATAAAAAATCTCCACATCCCTCAAAAACAAAACATATTTCAACAATTATTAATTTTATTGAATAACTCTACAGCTATCATTTCAGTATAGTGTGACAATAATTTAACAGAATATCCTGCAATGCCGTTCAAAACTAATTCTGTGAAAAAAACTTTATGGAGAAACACAATGCAAGGCTACAAATATCCAATTATAGAAAACACAACCAGCTAAAGTAGCCCAAGCCTAACATGAGGAACCTAACAATATAATGAGCAATTTCCCTTCTTCATCCTTCCCGTCCTCAATAATTTTTGCTTCCCAATACACAATATTTAAACAACTACTACGGGTTGTTTGTTTCAACTTGATGACAGTTTATTGGACCTTCAACTTATTCATTCCCATCTTCTGTGAATTAAACCAATAAGTGGAAGCAAACAAAAAGTCTGTCCTCTCTTTTCCTCTCACAGTCCTATTCATAGGAATTGAGAGGATAGCAGAGATAACATCTCCACTATCTGGTAATAGTTACACCAAATATTCTCAACTTTTCTATTTTATATTTAAACCCCATATTTAAATATTTTGCTATCAGTTTCTAATACCTCTTCCAGCAGAGCTAGATATCTAGCTTCATATAAATGCAGAGTCTTGCTCTCTGATGGAACCAGAACCTGCCAAAATTGAAAAATTATCAGCAAAAGAAGCCATAAGAAGGGAAATTTATGAAATGAAAAGCAGACTAGACCTCGCCCATGTTAAAAGGAAGAAGAGGCAGCTCAAGGGAGGTAGCATTTGGAGAAAAACGACGCTGTCTGGTTGTGCTAAGCTGATGATTCCCAGCAAACAGGGAGAAGCGAGAAAATGGGCATAGTACTCGAGTACAGAATTTGAAGTTAGGAAGTCGGGTAGTAGCAATACTTGAGAGACCGAGGATTGTTCCACTTCCACAACTCATCGAAGAGAAGGACAAATTATAGGAATAATTTTTTTAAAAAAAATAATTAACTCTTTTCTTCTGCAAAAGAAAAGGGAAAGAGAGTAGAGATAGCAGTTAATATGGAAATACAGGTCTTTTAACGGTCCCTTCTGTTTGGATATCTGGATAATGTTTGGCGGTAGGCGGGGATGTTCAATTGGTGGTTTGGACCGTTTCAGTCCGGGTACCCATTAGTCCGTTAAAAGACGAAGATGGATATCGGGTCCTTATCAAATTCAATCGAGTGAGATTTAGATTCAGGATGTCAAAATGGATCATAACATGGAAATACGATACGTTTAACACACGAAATAAAGAGTTAGGATTAAAGTTAAATGGATTCGTATCATAAGCAGATCACCTAACTTGAATATAAATATGTCGTGTAAACACCCGAATTAGATAAGTGATCTGTTTATTTAAAGTAAAGAGATAAATTTAGCGTCAAATATAAATACTCAACTAAAGCCCTATTTAAACTTTATGGTTGTATTAATTTTTTGTTATTTAGTTATGAATCTTAGAGAATCTGTATAATTTATGTATAAAAATTTATTTTAAAATGTGATTTGAGTTAAATAGGCTAAAATTTAAATAAAAATATTATAAGCAGGTTAAGTGGAGGGTTTACAGATCAAAAACAACTCACTTAACCTACTTATGATATTAGATGGTTTACATGGATCGTATACAGGTCAAGACCACCCACTTAACATATTTATGATATTAGGCGGGTTACTCATATTGTGTTCGTGTCATTTGTCTAATTTTCATGTCATATTCGTATTGACAAATTTGACACGATTATTAAATGGATCATGTTCATGTTGACCTAATCATGTTGCGTATTAGGCAAATTTGTGTCGAACCCGACACGGCAACTCATTTCAAAGCTAAGCTCTAACGAGGGGTAAATTATACTAATGGTCACCTAACTTCACATTTAACTTTATAAGGTCACATAACTTTCATTTGTCATTTTTTAGTCACTAAATTTTGATGTTTGTTTTAACGGGAGGTCACTTACAAAATGTCGTCATTGAAAATACTAACAAGACAATAGAAATAAAATATTTCATTAAAAAATTCATATTTTCTCCAAATACATTAATTGGAAATCTAAACATTAATTTATTTAACAAATAATGTCATTTACATGAAACAAGTTTTAAATAAAATAAAAGAGAAAAAATTTTCACTCATTTATATTTTGTAGCATTTTTTTTCCTTTTCTTTTATATTCTTTTGTAATCATGATTTTTTTTTTTGTGATATATGTAATTTTTAGTATCATATTATTGTTTTAATTATGAGAATATGTAAAATTAAGTGACTACTGATGTAATTTACCCCTCTAACGAACTCCAACTTGACTCAATAAGAGTATGTTTGAATTAAAACTCCCCTTTAGCTTAAGTCCGGAAATGTGAATTTGGAGTAGAGATAGGCTTCGGTTCACAAAGACGGGATTTCAGCTACATGCCCACATGAGATCCACGTGGCCAGCTGACATGGAGCTGTTTTAATCCAAGTCGATTGAGAGCATCTCTAATGCAACAATGGATTACTCTACTTTATTTATCATGTCTGAAAAATTAAAAGTTATTTTCTCCAATGCAATTGTCTTTTTAGTCTGTGAGTCTGATATGCAAAAAAGAAAAATAGACATTGTTTATCACGCTTTCTATTTACAAAGAGTCCATTAGACAGCATGACTCATATATTAATTTTTTTCCTATTTATTAATTTATTATTATTTTTTTATTTTTATGCATTCTTTTTATTCGCGCTCAAACTTCTTGTCGCCCTAAAATTAATTTATTTTTCGTGCTCAAACAAAAAAAATATAGAATTATGGTTGGTTGTCTATCTAATAGATTATCAACAATGGAGGTACCAAGTAGGAAGTGCAAAAGAAAATCCCTAGCAATTGGATCAAGGTAATATTTTTTCTTCATTTTAATTCTTTTATCAGTCTTTTTGTTTTAATTTGATTATCGTTGTATGATCAGTATTCATAATCAAATAGCTCTAGAATTAACCTCAAAAATTAATGAAAAACTAGATCTCAACCGTCTTTATAGTTCCCACATTTCTTTTTTTGCCACTTGTTAAAAACTCATCTAAAATCCATATCTCTCTCCTCTTCTACCCCTTCAATTGTACTAGTGATTTAAACAAATAACTAGAAAGCATGAAATACACAAAAACGAATTTAAGCATTGTTTCTCCTGACTAGTTAATAAACTTATCTTTTTTGTCTTGCTTTGGGCTAGATTTCATATTATTCAATTTTCACAGAATATGGTTTCATATAAAACATATGAAGTTAACATTGCAAAATTATTGTTGTTCTTTATTTATATTTAGTCGAGTTGATCGTCGTTTGTTATAAAATCCACATCATCAAAAAGTTTTAAAATAATCAATATGCATGAAGCAGTGGAGAATTATTCTTAAAATCTAATATGTACAAATACACATTCAGCCAACTCATCACCTATAGCTTCTATTTATTAAGACCCATCACCCACAATATATGGTCGCACAAGAGATGCTATAAACTATCAGCATAAATGGGTCCCAGATATGCACAATCATCATTCTGGTGAAATATATAGCATTGAGCACTTAATTGATTTTTGAAAAAAAGTTTAGATACTCAATTTCCGTTCATGTACTAAAATAAAAAAATTTGAAAAGTTTTTTTTTTTTGAAAGAAGAATTATCATATATTATCTCAATGAAAAGTAATACATCAAACATTCGGGCACTGAATCCCAAACATGAACAGGATTAAAACGATAGAACGCTCTAGCTAAGCAATGAGCACCTATATTATCGTGTCTTCTAATCCAACGAACCTGGACTAATGGAATGGAGATTAATAACAAAATACAATCAGAAATAACAATACCCAACTCACTCATATCTCTAATCTTGGACGAAAGAGCATTAGAAAGACATTGAGAATCTATTAAAATAGTACCTGCACTCTGAATATGCTGAGCTATAAACTGTAAAGTGAAGCGCAGAGCCAAACTTTCCGCCATAAGTGGAGATGGTTGACCTTCATAGAAATTGAAAATAGCGCGCAAAAAACATCCTTCATTGTCTTCAAAAATAGCCCCTATACCCGCTGATCGTATATTAGAAAAAATAGCAGCATCCACATGGCAAGTCCTCTCTCCCAGCTCGGTAATAGTAGGTGCTACCTGAGGAATTTGTACCAGAGGCATTTGCGGCTTTACCAAGGCATTCTTGAAGTCTTGAAAAAGAATAGAAGCTGTAGCACTAACATTCATAGGATTCCATTCCCTTTGTTGCCAAAGAAATTTGTTCCTAGCATAGATGGAGGCATTTGCGGCTTTAAACCAACAGCATCTTGAAGTCTTCGAAAAAGAATAGAAGCCTGTGCATAACATTCATGAGGATCCATTCCATCGTTTGCCAAAGAAATTTGTTTTCCTAGCTAAATCCCAACACGTCTCATTGCGACATAAGAAGATAAAAGCTAACTTTTTTCGGAATTAATTTTGCTCAACGGACCCGCGAATATAATAGATTTAAAAGAAAGTTAGTACAAGCCCTCCTCCACCTCTCACACACTTCTAAACTCCTAACCACCTTTGTAGCACAATAATACATGCATGATTTAACAATCCTCCGCAAAATCACAATTATAGGGCAATATAGTGTTCACATCATTACCATGCTGCTCAATGTCTTGTCCCGAGTAGGACGCCCAATAAGTTTCGCAAAGGAGTCGCGAAAGTGCAAAAATCTCCTGCTGACTTCGGTGGCAACAGATCTCAACTCTCCCGTCATACTTCCCCCAATACCCAGTAGGCACCAGCTCTACTACCTTCTAGGACGGACTCGCACCGACGCCTTTTATCCCTAACGAACACGCCCCACACAGCGGCAGATAGTTAAATCAAGATTTAACTACTAAAATTACCCTATCTTATACGTTAATGCCGAAATCAGCTCTATCTCCAAGTTTCTTACACCTAAGGGAACTATTCAAGAATAGTGTGATTTAGTCTGTCGGGCAAAGGAAAAAAAAGATTGAATAATCTTTGCCAACATCCCATTTCCCTCTCCCGCCTGCCACCAAAAAGATCTTCACTAAGGAAGATTTTAATTATCAAGATTATTATCAATAAAGAGACTACCATCCTCCACATAAAAAGACACCATCAATAGATAACCAAGGGTCCTTCACAACAGAAATACGCCTACCATTGTCAACCCTCCACCTAACTCCATGTTTCAAGCACTAAATTTATTACCTCTTTATTTAGTGACTTAACCTAATTTTACATGAAAAGTCCGAAGTACCCATATGGAACCCACGGGATTGATTCAATGCTCCACCTCCATAATAAATTGACTGCATATATTTATCTTTTATTTCGTCTTTATGACCCATTGTGAATAGTGACGTACAGTACACATTCTTTTTACTCAAACAGGACAATTTTTTATAACATATATTAGCAAATCAAATAGCACCACCCTTTGTAATAGATCTTAAATTTTAAATCTTAACCATATCGCAATTTGAGTATTTGACAATACGACAATTCTTTCTTCTTCTTCTTCTTCTTTTTTTTTTTTTTTTTTTTTTTTTTTTTTTTGACAATTCTTTCTCTTCCTTCTTTCTTTTTTTTATTTTTTTTTTTTTTCTTTGTTGTTTTTTTTTTTTAAATTAAAAAAAAAAAAACGCAATTACAATCATGGCAAGGGAGAGATTGAGGTTTGATGAAGCACGTGAAACTAAAGCAATTGGACATCTAATTTTACGGAAATATAAGCACAACTAATTTGTATATATATATACTCCTTTAACGCCAGCGAAAGGGATGCAAAACTCGGGTGCAAGGGAGGACCACCAAAAAAAAAAAGTTTTTTTTTTTTTTTTTTTTTTTTTTTTTTTTTAAATAAAAAAAAAAAAACGCAATTACACATGCAAGGGAGAGATTTGGTTTGATGAAGCATCCGTGAACTAAAAGCAATTGGACATCTATTTTTACGGAAAATATACACAACTAATTTGTATATATATATAAGCTCCTGTTTGACCGCGAAAGGGACTGCAAAAACTCGGGCAGGAGACCACCAAAAAAAAAAAGACCTAATCTAAGATTATATGATTGGTTTTGAAGAGAACCATTTTCAGTTAGCATCTCTCGAAAATCTTATAAAGCTTCTCCAGTGAAGCAACCTGTAAATAGCAAGAATATGAAAAATCAGTTTCTGACATCCTCTTGCAAATACTTGCAGAAAATTAGTAAAAACACTATTACACTAATACTAGAAATGGATGAAGGAAGATATTTTTGCATCTAAAACATAAATAAAAAAAAGGCTAATAATCGTGAGTAGACTCAGTAATGGACACATGAATTTGTCATTTGGCAACATGACGAAGCAAGACAGGTCGACAGGTCAGGAGGCCGTTAGCTGACACTGTAAGGTAATATAATCAAATGGATTTTTAGTTCAATGATCCAATTAAATCATAGATATAGTTCCTTATACATCGTTACGGTTCACCAAATATTATTATCCACAACTTATATGCTGCTTTACTAAACAAGCAAGGAACTCTGCTAAATCGAATGTGCTAAAGACTAGAATAAACATCGAGAAACTCAAGGTGGGAACTTCTTAGACAGAGAATACCACAAACTAGCATAACCTTGACACTTTTGAACTTAGCAAATCTAGAAAAATTGGAGACACTACCAGTGTAACCCCAGTAGTTAAAATATATGCACAAATTACAGTATCTTTACCTGAACAAATGTTCCATTTGTAGCCATTGAAGTTGGTGGTTTGAAAAAGAGTCTCAAGGCAGGAAACAACACATGCTGAATTGACCATTCACGTTGAGCCCATGCAGTCTCTGCCTCTGAGAGCAGTTCAAGCTCAATTTCATCCTCAGTTGGAGCATCACCTGTGAACAGTGAAAAGAACTGTTAAGTTTCACGCCCAAAAAAGTGTAAATGTATCATGTGAAGAAGGAACAAAAGGACAAAAAGAGTCTACTCCTGTAAAGCAAGTTTACAGAGAGTAACAAACAATTCCTATAGACTGAAAATGGTGCATCATATTCGCAAAGAGGCATTGACCATAGTTTCAGACATTTGAGGAGCATTCTTTACCAACTTTCTCTCCTTGAAGAATGGCAGTGTAATGAAACAGGAATAACCAACAGAATAGCGTCATTTACTTGCTAAACAAAAAGAGCTAGTTGACTCACCTAGTAAAATGTGATGAAAAGCGTATATAAAGTGTATCATTACATAAAAGGAAAAGTGCACTGTCTTTGCCTGTGTGCCTGATTTCACTCTCTCAGTCTCCTATTACACCTCATTACCCCATTCCATTAGAGTTGGCAAAAAGTAACATGTAAAACAGTGTTCTGGGGCACTTATTCTAGTTGAACTGCATGCACTTCTAATTGAGCTTTTATCATGAATGAGAGATGACGAGAATCCCAAATAATAGGATTTACAAGCTCCTATATCAGCAATGATTCCAAAACTCCAACGTTGTCTTAATGTTCAGCTAGATATTTCAGCAATTTTTCAAACACCTCAGACGTGGCATTGACAAACTTATCAAGTAACTGCATCATTTTACGTCAACAAATGCACCTAATTCAAAACTACAAAACAACAGACTTGCACACATCGCCAAAAAAAAGTATTTTTTTTTTCTCACCAACCATTTTACTTGATTCAAATACTTTTCTCATCAACCACAGTAGTAATTTCCCCCCTCCCAGTTTTCTTCTTTAATGATAATTCATAGTTCATACTCCTGAGTTTGAAGCTAATTGTTTTCTGCACATACAGTAGCCTTGAATTAGTGACTTCGGAAGCCTAGAATAAGTGATAATGGAAAAGGGAAGATTGAAGAATGTAACAATTTTTTATGTCATTAATTTCACCAATTATTCAAGATAATAATCTCACTTAACAATTACTAATAAACATGAATGCAAAACCGATCGGTAGACCAACTTCTCCAGACAAAAAGTCCAAAACCATTGGGCATCAATAAATGGAGCAGGGAGTTCTGGAACTTCAATATTTTGGGAATACATGCGGGACACTCCAAAAGAACAAGCAATAATCATATAAAATCTGAAAATCTTTGCCAACAACAATTAAATGATGAACAGTAGCTCTTATCAAAACTTTATCAAAGAAACAATAATTCAAGAATATTGGAAAAGATTATAACATAGAAAAGGGAATTAATAAACAGATATAAGATATCATTTAAGTTAACAATGGAACAACTATAAATACATGCATAAAACTGCCAACAGGAGATGTACCTGTATCGATAGCAACTTCTAGACCTTCAAGATTATTTACACATTTTCTCCTTTTGTAAAATTGCAAACTATCACCTGATGGATTGGGCAGTAGAGGGGGATGCATGGCATAAAAATTTCCAAGAGCAGCTGCAATTGCTTGAAAGCAGTTCTTTTCATCTTCCCAATCAACCTAATATTTAGAAGAATCAAACTTCACACAAAAATGAAATATCAATTCATGCATTGACATATTGGACACTTCACAGCTCTTTTTTCTAACACTTTAACGCATGACATGAGAGTGTGATTCTACAGTTTGCTGTATAACAAATAAAACAGTACACCTATAGCAGGCATCTTCTTCTCACTTCAGAACAATGCCAACAATTTCACCACCTTAAAATTAGCAAATCTCCTATACCCCGTACATCTTTGTTTTCTATAAAAACTGTCTTCTGGATACTTAGTCATCGAGTAATTGTTATTTCAAATTATTAAATCTGAAAGTAATATCAATCAAAAGTAGCCATGCAGAAAGAGCTGAGAGAATTTCTTTTTCTTTTTCTTTTTTTTTTTTTTTTAAACAAGCAATTTGATTAAATGTATTTCATAGATAAATAAAACCTGAAACAAAAATTATGACGCTTACTATGCATATAGAGTCTAGAGGGCAATAAAACCAAGCTATAATGCTAACAGGAAAACCAAGGAAATAGGAAACTTTTTTGTGAATATGTATTTCAAATCCAAGATGTCATAAAAGTAGGATCTGGAATATCAAACCAACATAAAGTAAGATCTGATAGTTAAAAGCCGTACATAATGTATTCCAAACCCAAGACATCATCATAGTAAGATCTAATATCAAACCAGTATAAAGTAAGATCTAGTTGAAAGCAAGAACCTACATCATTGCCCAAACATAGCACAAATTCAGGAATCCGATCCATATCAGGCATGTGCTGGTCTAGTATAACAGGAAGCCTAGACAAATTTCCATGTGAACCAACATAAATACCAAAGTACTCCTCCAGCAGTTCAGCTTTTTCCTTGAGCAACTCGGTATTCATCTGAAGAAAGTCAATGGACAATGTAAGTCAAATAACAAAACAGAAAGTTTCATATAACTAATTAGAAACCTTTAACCACGCAAAACTCGTAAGCTTTTGCCATCCAATCATATTAAGACATTGACAAAAAGAGTCATTATCATCATGACCCCAGAAAATAGGGGGAAATAAAAGGGATATCCATATGTTTAAGAACCTCCAACATGTTCCATCATTATAATTAAAATGCAAGACAATCATAGTTGTGAAAGGTGTAAGCCTGCGAAAGGGGCATTGAGGCATACCCCTAAAGGGTGTGAGACACATACATCAATGTGCAGAAGACATTAATTGAAATTTTTATTTACAAGCAGTAATAAATGATTGCCAACATCCAAGAATTCATTGAAAATTTTCAAAACTACTGGATTTCTTCCTTCACCTCAATTGCATGGATTATCATCCTTTTTCTCTTTTTCTTTTTTTTCTTTCCCTTCATTAGAATTAAGGTCCTCAGTAACTTCTCCATCTTCATATGACTCCTTTAAATTAGTTACATTAGAATCAGTGATGCATTCCAAGTTAAGACCAGTCAAATCCCAAGCTTGATTAGAATATATTGAGGAGTCAAAACCCAGCAGAATTCAATGGAAGTAAGGGCAAGCTCACTACAAGAAGTGCAAATAAACTACTATTGCTGTTGTCAGAATGAAATTTCTGTAAGCTTTTTAAGAAACTCATCAATATAAAAAATGAAAATGTAGGCAAATCAAAATGAAGGGTCAATCTAATAAATAGAAGCTACCTCTGCAATCTTTTCTTTCAGGTCATCATTTTCATTGGATTCAGGATCCCAGTCTTCCTCTTTCAAAGCCAACATAATGAGCTCTTTCGTGGGGGCCGGATCACTTAGTTGTATAGCATTAAAATGTGCAAAACGGCGAAGAACTTGTTGGTACATAAGCTCTTTGCTGTAAAAGTACAGAAACAGAAATAGTAATTCAACTGAGGGAAGAAAGAAACTAAATTTGTCGCTAGTAGACTTGGCCCATGTCTCGCAGCATTAGATTAGCTAGAACCTGCTTGCAGTTCGGGACATGGGCCCATACTGAACAACAAGAAAAAGATATATCACGAGTAGCTCCCAGAGATTAACTTGGACAATGCACTAAAAGAAATGGTGGCTGCCAGTTATGAATATAAAAATAAAATAAACCATTAATTCAGTGAATGGGAAATAGATGAGAAGGGGGAAAAAGAGCATAAGTAGCCTATTTACATTTAAAGCTGGTTGGGTATAAATGAATTTCATAAAATTTTGTGGAATTACAAATCCACATTATGTTTGATTAAGTTTGGTTTAAATGAATTCCACAAAATTTGGTGAAATTCAATTGAATTCTAAGTTTTGTTCGTGTGGTTTGGACAAAATTTCGACTTCAATTCTAAGAAAGTAGTTATAACTAAAATCAAATTCTGTCAATTTTCAATCAAAATTCGATTGAATTTGAAATGAATTCTGCAAAATTAACACAACATTCTTTGGACTAAAATGCCCATACCACAAGAGATTCTCTTCCTATCTCCACAAAAGATAAGTTGGAGTCTACACAAGGTGATAATACAGAAAGAAAGCATAAAAAACACATGTACAAAGTTTCATTTTATATAGAACCTCAAGTTTTTCTTAACTTTCATTTTCTTTTCATATGCATATGAATTTTTGTCAATGAAAATGTATGAAAGTAAATACAAAAACACAAATACAAATTCAAAACTGAACAACAAATGTTACATTTGTGCACATAGAAGAACATCAAAGCTTTGATTCAAGGCAAATGAAAGATTCTTGGAATTTCCATGGTGCTTTTGGATTAAATGCACATTGACTTTTTTTTTTCAAAAAAAAAAAAAAAAAAAAAAACTGAACAACAAATGTTACATTTTGCACAATACGCAAGAACATTCAACAGCTCTGATTCAAGGAATGAAAGATCTTTGAATTTCCATGGTGCTTTTGATTTAAATGCAACATTGAACTTTCTTTTTTCAAAAAAAAAAAAAAAAAAAAAACCTCACTACAACCAATTTTTTTTTTAAAAAAAAAAAAAAAAAAAAAACCTCACTACAAAAGAATGTTTTTAATTGGTTTATGTGTTTATTAATTGTATAGTTCAAGATTGTTTTGGTAAAATTGAAAATTATTATTTTTTAACTTTATTATTGAGGGTAGTTTAGGAAGTGAAGATAAATGAATTCCACGTATGAATTTACACCAAACATGAATTATATGGAATTCAATTGAATTCTGCATCTTAAGTTGCACATACCTAAAGCAGGAATTCATTTTTAAAAGAATTTCACATCTCTAATTCAGTTAGACAAATATGATGGTAGAATTCTATATTTTAAAGTCTATAGAATTGATTAAATTTGAACCAATCTACCAAAATTGATAGAATTTCCAAATGAACTCTAAACTTAACAAGGGGCAGAAGATACTAAAACTAATAAATTCTAAGCACAAGTTAGTAAAGCTATTTATTAAAAAAGAAGTCTACAGTTAATCCAAATATGAAATTTCAATTGCAAATGATTTTTTATTTTTTTATTTTCTAAAAATAGAACTCATTTGCAAATGAAATGATTTCATATGGATTTACTTTGAACACCACGTAAGCATATTCATTACCTCAAGTTTACCACATTTGCAAGATACAGATGAGTATTATGCTGCAGCACCACAAAAATATCATCTGCCATTCCAATATATGTGCATTGCCGTACAATGTCCAGCAGACCTACATAGCAAGATGTCAGGAAGAAATATCAATAAATAGTTGACTACATAAAAGGATTTCAAAACCAACCACAGAAAATCTGTCAGATATACCTGAATGACAATTGTGTTCAACATCATTAATAAGCTCCTGAATGCTAGTCAGATCAGCGGTTTCCTTTGGGTTCCTTCTTTGCCTAATTGAAGACCTACATTTTTACAATTTAAATAAAATGTGTAAGGAGTACATACATATGCTCATTCAACTTTAAAATTTCAAAGAAATACAAGCACTAACAGCCACTTTTAGCATTCAAACTTGGGGGAGGGGAAACCAAACTCAGTGCCCCAAGCTTACAAGCAGTATACCACAATTCAAGGTTTTAAATGATCCCCTCTGGTGTGTTTATTGTCTTATATCACTGGGTAATGCTCAGCAGAGACCATTATTCCTTATTTTGGCTTAGGTTTTTTTTTTTTTTTTTCTTTTTTTTCACCAGTATCCAGATCCTACTACCAATGACCTACTAATCCGGCTCAGGGTTTAGTCACAATTAAGACTTTTCGCCCCTCCCTGCAGGTGCGTTTAGTGGGGATCGAACCCGATATCTCTTCTCACATGCCCAGCCTGTGTTGCCAACTAAGCCACAATCCATAGGTTTTTGGTTTAGGTTTTCAATAAGGAAGAAATTGCAGATCTTATGGAAAAGTTTTAATTGGATTTGGGGTTAAATTGAGGCTGCACATTATATATCTACTACATAGTAGAGGTTGCAAAGCCTTGTGCATGTTCTAAAAAATATACTCCCTCCATCCCATTTTGTTTGCATGGTTTGACAAAACACGCATATTAAGAATTTAGTGAACAAAAGTTATTTTGCCCTTCTTTACCCACCAAACAACACGCATCATTAAGAATTTATAACAAAAGTTATTTTGCCCTTTCTTTACCCTTAATAACTGCAATGTAGATACTAAAAGTCCTTCATGTCAATGAAGCCAGTTATTTCAGGTTATTATGGAAAAGTATGTTGTTTACATGTCATAATTAAAGAACTTGCAAACATTTTAGGACATTCAAAAAAAAAAAAAAAACAAGCAACAAATTTAAAAACCTTGCAAACATTTTAGGACATTAAAAAAAAAAAAAAAACAAGCAAACAAAGTGGGACGGAGGGAATATATATTATTTATAGCAAAATAAATTTTATTCTTGGAGAACAAAATGAAAATAAATATATACATATAAAAGTACACAATGACAAGACTAGGAATGTAATGCTCTCCAATCAAGATGAATAATGATTAAAAGAACTCCTTAGCTAAAGCTGGCTGACAAGCTAGGAACACCAACTTCCATATAAATACTGATTTTGAAATATTAGCATTTCTTTCCATATAAATGCTCTATCCTATTCCTACTCTCTTGGCAAAAGAAAGGAGCATATCTCTAAAGAATTTTTTAGCATTTTTATACCAACAAATCAACTCCCTTTTCCACTGACAAAAGTTTATAAAGACCACACAAATCCAATTCTCTTTTATATGGCTGAAAGCAATTCCATGCTCCCAGGCAACCTCAAATGAAGAAACAACTGGTAATGAGTCTCACTACATCTACAACACTAGATGATGCCCTAAAATACAGCTACCTAAAGTTAATAGCATAATCATTTCACAAAAAAAAAAAAAGTTAATTGAATAATGACTAAACTTTTCTGATGTTTCACAATGTGATTAAGCACTAAAATAAGAATTTTTTTATTTAATTTTTAAATTATATTGGATTTTGAATCCAACTCTAGGTATCTTGAACACAGTTGATAACAATGAATAATTCAGTATTAAATTTTAAAGAACACATAATTCGTGTGATAAAAATATCCGACTTCATATTGCATCAGAACACATGCCTAAACCAAACTACCAATGATCTTTTCTACTAAAACTTCTTTAGGTTTTTCACAATATATTGATGAACCACCAACCTACGACCACCATTTTCCTCTTCTACTGCCACCATAACTACCACTATTTTCCATCTACCGCCGCTGACGTTGTTATTGCCACCCCCACTGTGACAAATACCACCACATTCACTATCTTGACCATTTACTAAAATTTTCCAATTTTTATAAAATTATTAAACTAAAACATACTATCACCATTTTCATCTTCTTCTGCCACCATATCTATCACCACCACCATTTCTATTGCCAACCATATTGTGACGGAATCCAATGTTTCATTATCTAGGTTAAGTTCACCCATCATTCCTTGACTTAGGGTAATGCACTTTGTTGTGTCTAAACTTCAATTTGAAATTTAAAAATCACTCAACTTTTATTCTAGTGACGAAAAAATGACTTTGCCCACAATTAATAAAATCCGGTGCCTGGAACTCCACGTGGATGACAGGTGGCATGTTAAAAATTCAAATTTTAAACAAATCAACTCAAGCCACAATCTCTACTCCAGCTGAACCATTTTTTCTCTCTCCTAAACTGAAGCCTCTCTCTGCTGCCCTTTCTTATTTTCTGCCTATTCTTCCTCTCTCTCTCTTTTTCTTATCCGCTTTATTCTTTCTAAACAGTTTTCCATCTCTTGACATTATCATTCCTTCAAATCTTTCTCTGTAGAAATATTCTATATTTAGTTGGAGGAAGAATTTCATGAAACTACAACATGACGAAGAGGATGCTACTGATCTCTTCTAAATCTGGGTTGCTCGCAGAGTTAATCAACATAATATTGACAGGTTGATCTAAAAGCTTTAGATGCTAAAAAAAATAGAAATGAGAATATAATTAATTAAATATCCAAATACAAGACAACAATGCTTTAAAGTTTAAACATATAAAAAATGTGAACCACAAGATCAATAGCTGAACAGAAACTTCATACTCGACCAGAACTATTGTTGAATCAGGCAAAGAATTGGAAAATATGAAAAAGGGATATTAAAAGGATATATATATATTATATAAATATATATATATATATATATATATTGTATGTGCAAAAATCAAACACAATTATAGGTAAGATTATATATGTTGTATGCAAAAATAACAACACAATTATAGTAGAATCAGTCAAATATCAAATTTACTTTTCTCCTTCCGAGATAACTTTTCTTTCTTTCTTCAATTCTATAGCTGAGGATGGTTAATATTGTTTAATAATTTCATGAAATTCTTGAGCAAACAGATCCGAAAAGAGAGACGAGAAATTGTTTGGAAAAAATAAACAGGCATGAGAGAGAGAAAATGGTTTATTTGTAGGAGAGAGATTGTGGCTTCAGCTGATGTGTTTGAAAACGCCTGTCATCAATGTGGAGTTCTGGGCACCGGATTTTATTAATTGAGGGCAAAGCCATTTTTTTTTTATTGAAATAGGAGTTGCGTGATTTCTAAGTTACTAATTAAACTTAGGCATGATAAAGTGCATTACCCCTAGGTGGAGCAACCATGGGTGAAAATAACCTTTCATTATCTCAATCATTTACTACATTTTTTCCAAATTCAATACAATTATCAAACTAAAATTTCAACAGTTATTACTTCAACTGCTGATAATAAGCTGCGATTCAGCTATTAAATGTTCAAAATGCTAAATTTCAATCCTCTTCACTTCCCTACCATATATTTACTGCAATAGTTTTTTATTTATTATTAGCAGCAAATGCACATCAACATATAGGCAAATCATATTCTTTCAAAGGAGATTCAAACAGCTAATATGCGATGAATTTTCAATGAATACAAGAAAGGAATTTGAAGTGCTGATGGCTACATTATTTTCATAACCACATACCATACCTTACAGCAGTCAAGGAAGAATTATTTTCAAGACGATGCCGAGGCTTGGCCTCAAAGTAGGCATGCAACCTTCCAGCTGGATCTGATACATCAGTTCTTACCATTTTATTCACAGGAATTTTTTGCGGTTTTGACCCTAATCAAAATGAAATAATGTTTAACAAAGGAGCCTAAAACAATGAACAAGTGGTTGTGACTAGAGTGTGAAGCCAACCAGCTGTTTTCATACCAGAGGGTGCGGAATCAACATTCAAATCCTTGCTCATACCCAAAGGGCAGCTTGGTGAAGTATCCACTGTCTAACACATGCATGAAACAAAAGATGCCAAGCAAGCTGATAAGTTAAACGCAATCTACAAAGAAACACAAATGCAGCAAGTTAAATGTTAAATTAGCTTAATAAAAGAATCAGATTTTTATACATTACCATAGATATATGCGCATAGATATGAAAATTTCAATGTTATATGTTAATATCTAAAGAAAAGTACTAAAATTTTGTAATAAACAGTACTCCCTCTATCCACAAATAATAACCTTTGTTTCCTTTTTGGGATGTCCAGGGAAAAGTCCACTTTACCTTTTAAGTTAAAAGTTAGTACTTCAAAAGTTGCTTTGGCAATAACACTCTCCAAAAAACTCTTATTAATCTTTGTGCTACTTTCTCACTGAAATCATTGAGGCGAAGTTGGAATTAATGACTACAATTTGCAGATAGAGGAAGTATATCTCAAAGAGAAAAAATTCATTTCATATGTATAAAATCAAAATAATAACAATATAATTGGAGTAAAATTAGGGTTGAGGGTCGAGGCAGGGCAAGATGGGAAGACCTCAACACATCCCCACCATTCTACATTTATAGAATGGGGCATGAGTTCCCCATCAGGATGGATGAAATTGCTAAGTTGTTAATAAGTAGAAGAGTAAACACCATCCTTAAAAAAAGTAGTAGAAGGCTTCTAGCACTGAGCTTTTCTAGCAAGCTTTAAATGTACCTGCTCATGAAAAGTTTTTGCCTCATTTGAGCTCCTCAACTTTGATTCCACAGCCAATTGTATCTTCTCAACAATAATTTCCTGATTCAGAAGACTTACCTGCATTTCAAATGAGAACTCCTTGTTGTAGGAACAAAAAGAAATGTACTTCTAGAAAGATGTTGTGGTAAAGTAAAATGCTAAAAATTGCACATTTATCATTTCTACACCAGATTCATTTATGTACATATTCAGCTCACAATGTGTCATTTTCCATTTTTATCAATAAAATAGTAGGAGTCCTACCATATGATACAGAACTTTATGTTGCTAAAGAATGGTCATGTACATTGTCACAAGTCTTTATTATTTTTCTGCAAAATGACTACAGAAACATAGAATGAATATACAGCTAATGTTCTAACTATCAAAGTTACATACCATGAGAGGAAATTTTCCTCACAAGGTTTTCAAATTACTTAAATTTATTATTAAAGCTTAGAGTATCCACAAATAGGAAGATATATGATAATCCAATCACACTAATCTGGTCCTCCACTACGCCTTATATGCATCTTATCCAATTATGGGTCCAAATAGTTGAAAATTGGATATTCTAATATTTCGATAATGTGATCAAACAAACCAAAAAGAAAATAAAGGAATTCAAGAATCCAGTTGAATAATAATAAGATATTGAAGTTATAACCTGAACTAGCTTCAAGAAAACTACATAATAATGTTTTCAACCCACACCTTTGCATCATAAGAAAATCAGAAAATACACTTTTTAAAATTTTCCAACTCAAAGTTAGCTAGAATAGGATGTAGATTTAATGAACAAGCTGAACAAGATGATAAGCATGCTGAAACTTATCTTCTGGCTGATTAAGTGGTAAAGGGGTTCAGGGATTCTAAGGCACTTTTCCAGTTAGAACCTTATAAAAGAGGCCCTTATAACATAATGCCACATTGCAAAACTTCCAAGATAACCTTCATTTGAACTATGCTTAATTATAATTGTAATTTGACTGATGCAATATTTCCCCCTCACCAAAATAAATACATAAAAACAAAAACACAATGAAAGATTAGCCATTTGAGAGCTTGAAACAAATAATGAGTTTCAAGCTTAAGGCAGGTTAACTGGATGCAACTTAGCACAATAATTTTGCACATTTGTCCATAATTCTCATCATCACATGCTGCAATAAATTTCATACAAGTAACTAATTTTAAGTTTTTAAACACGCTACTCCTTCAAATGCCAATCGTATATTTGTAACTGCACTATCATAGACATATTTCAATACATAAGCATCAGCCATAACAAGTTTAAGGGTGCTCCTTAAAATATAACTAAAGCACCATAAGATTGGCTAAATAGGCTTAACATAACTAACCAACAAGAACTGAGGACAAGTTGAGTACTAAAAAGAATGACAAGTGAACTGTACAGTTTAAGATTTTTTTCCCCAACTCGTTATCATTTTATGATTCTCATTCTGCTCAATCTTCAGATTTATCAAATTAATTTGTGACATCAAAAGATTGGGGATAACAGGATATAGTGATTTACTCTAAAAGTCGTACCTCTCTCTTTGTTGGATGCACATTCACATCAACATGCTCAGGTGGCAACACAATTGACATGTATACAAATGGTTTTGATGCTTTGGGTAAGGTAGCAGCATAAACAATTTCAATAGCTCTCTTCAAACCAGTGCATTCCACCAGTCTATCTGAAGTGAAGAAATGAACAAAAAGAAAAAGGTCAAAAACATATCTCTGTTGATGTTACATAAATGTGTTGCCATGTGGACCAAATATACTCTACTAATTTATCCCTAATAAAAAAGGAAGTGGTGATGGTGGCATCCTGTTTCTTAAGTAAACTATGTACATGATAAAAGCACCAAAGGAAATGGTACTCCTGTACACAAGGGGCTCTAAAACCTACATTTAAAAAAAAAAAATGTGAGATTTCAAAAACTACAATGGTCAACATCACAATATCTGGTCTTTAAAAATAATATAGGATTCTACAATTCTAGAAGCCCTCAAATTTCAATCTTGGCAGACTCCACCAAATGGACAAGGTAATGACATCAGCACCTTACTCTTCCTAGCTCAACAGTCTCCACATATCAAGCATCTTATCCAAAATCCTGTGCAGAAACTAAATGAATCCCAAAAGAGATAATGGCACCTTATGCCACCATTTTACCCTTTATAATATGTGAAACTACGTAATAAATCCACAAGCATTAGCCCTCCCTTGGGAGTCACCAAATATATTATTTTATTGGTTGGATGATATGAGAGTTAAGAAGCTGATTTTTGTTAACATCAAATAATGTGGTTCATCAAAAACTCTAATTTAGCAGTTGTTAATACAAAATAAAAAGATCTATACATGCGCATGATACTAAGTTCAAGATTTCAAAAAAGAAACAAGCAATAGAGAACTTAATGAACCAACATTAGATAGAATAGTGAAATTTTAAGTTGATAGCAATTCCAAGGTGCTAAGTATTGCTTCCTAGAATTTGGAAACGCTTCTACATCAAACCAATAATTGAGATTTAACCAATCTGATCATGGAGAATAACTATTCAGGAAAAAACAAAAGATAGAAAGTTGTGCAAACAATAAATCAGAATTTTATTTGACAATAATTCGCTAAATACAGGACCTAGCAATCAAGAGGCACATATAAATCACCTTGGTTGCTCCATGTTTCATGTTTTATTTATTTATTATTTATTGTAGCTTTCTCTGTTACTAAAATGCCCTTCATCAAATATAAAAAAAATAATAATACAGTTTACATCTCTTTGTCCCTTAGGAAATAATAAAAGATAATAATGATCTTCGGTGACCCATAACTTCTAACATCGATCAAAATTTATACATCTGAACTAAATTTAAATCGAATAACCTCTGAATAAAATAATTGATAAATAATGAACTTTGATATTTATATTGTCAGAAAATAAAAAAACTAGTAGGCATGTTATTTCAATCTGTCTAATATCTTAATAGGACATGTTTTAGAATAAACTTCCTTTTTCCCCCTCCATCTGGGTGGGGAAGAGAAGGGCCTAGGTTTCTAACCCATAGCACCAAATAAGCCTACATATGCCAAATATCTATGAAACAGCCTCATTTATATTTTCAGGAATTTTTATTAAAATATGCTGTAATGAGTGTCTTCTAAGCTAATTCATCAAGAGTTGCACCCCCACAAGTTGACAATCAACCTAAAAAACATTTGCACCAGGGGGGAGGGAGAGGGGGACTTGGGGGAGCCCGGGCCCCCCCAAACTCCAGAATTTTTTTTAAAATTTGCCTTATAAATTAGTATAAAAATTTTTTTCTTCATTTTGGTCCCCCTAAATTTTGAAAATTTTATTTTGGTCTCCCCAAATTCTAAAGTCTAGCTCTGCCCCTGATTTGCACCAAGCTAATGAATGACAAAGGTCATTAAGAAGAAAAGTCAACATACATTCTGCCACAAACAAACAATTCACCATTTTCTGTGTAACTATTCTGTCACAAATATCCTTCATCCAGATTCAAAAAATATATTCAGTTGAATTGAACCGAATGACCATTTTCCCTTCTTGAATTTATGAAGAAAAGACATACCATTGATAAAAAGCACCATTGTTGTTTTCTTTGCAGTATAATTAGCATCTGAGATGAATCCGTTCATATCAAAAACTGAACTAGAGGGATTGCTATCTGAAACTTCTATTTTCATTACATTCCGAGCTACAGAGACCCCATAAACAGATCTAATAGAATCCAGCCTTGATGATGTGACGACCGAGTGTACATCTGCTCTAGCGGCTCCATGCTGATTCCAGTAGCATTACAAAATATTTACACAATTATTGCAATAAAAACTCCAAGCATGCAACTATAGAGTTTGATATGACAACAACAGTGTTGACAAATCATAAAGACCAACCTTTCTGCAAGAAAAGCTAACATTGGTGTGATGAATGGCAAATCGGCTTAGCAAGTCTACAATTTTTGAATAATCATCAGCAGAATTTTGGAGTGTCTTCCTCCGAGCAATCATGTTATAGAACAAGTTCTCCACCTGACAAGACAGATACCAAAATAACACCCTTTCTATTTAGTTGAAGTTTTTAATTCAATATACATTGCTTTTCATACTCTGCTAACTATTCCAACTTCGGGTTTGTCTTATTTTCTAATTTCCAAATCCAAATCAAAAGGTCAGGTTCATGCCATTATTTGAGTCCCTTTCACAGCAGCACACGCCTTTGGTTGGTTCTCCATGGCGCCATCTCTATAAGATACCCTGAATACAAAGTAGAAACCTAAAATTAGAGTCGAAGATAAAAGAAACTTGTTCAAAAGTAAAAGCTAGCTTCATTGGCGCATTTTACCAAACAGGTAGAACACACTCACTCACCTGTAGCCATGCAACTGACCTTCAGTAATTGTGGTGACAGTAACATGAGCAACATAAGTCATGCTAGCCAACGCTTCTCCCCTAAACCCCATAGATTTTATCGACTGCAAATCCTCATAAGCTGACAGCTTCGACGTGGTGTGTCTCTCACATAGTATAGGCAAGTCCTCATACTACAAAGCACAAAAACAAACATTGCAATTCAAAAAAAACAAACAGAGAGAGAGAGAGAGAGAGAGAAAGAAGAACAAGCACAGTGCCATTTAAGTGTCTGTGACTTACTCGAATGCCATGACCGTCATCGGACACTTGTATGAGCTTGAGGCCACCGTCCTTGACAATGACATTAATAGAGGTAGAGTGGGCATCCAGACTATTCTCCACCAGCTCTTTCACCGCCGATACGGGCCGTTGAATGACTTCTCCAGCTGCGATTCTATTAACCACTGACTCATCAAGACGATGAATTTTAGGTGGATCTTTCGGGACAGGAACAGGTGGTGGCAATTCTATTTCCATCGAGTGAGTTGGTGGTGGACTGGTGGTGAACGGTGATTCTACCGTCTTCGTGTCCCTGGGCGGGTCCCTGACTACTAGCAGGCACAACGCACAAATAGCCGGAAGAAAGAAAAAGTTATGGGCCTAAGTGAAAATTGTAGCCCAAATCGGGCGGCCTGGCCCAATTTTTGAACAGCATAATCCGTCAAACCGTGAAGCGGAAAGAACATTCTCCGCTCCGGTTGAAAGAACATTCTAGAGAAAATGAAGGCAAGGTATATCAGAGAAGCGGGTTAGTTGATTTCTGTTGTCGTCTACTGATACATACGATTCTTTTTGTGCAATTCATTCATTAATTCTCCTCTTCAGCTTTTTGTTGTTCCAAAAAATAAAACCATCTTTTATTTGCGAAATAGATCAATAAAATTTCCGTCGGAATGGAAATGACGGAACCGGAGAGGATGGCAGGAGGGGGAGTGGCGTTGAATTTTCCTGCAAACGATGAGGAGACGACAACGTCGTCTTCTCTTTCTCCTCCGCTTAGGGCACCTCCTCGGAGATTGAGACGACGTCTGCTTGCGGAGCCTAAAACCCCTCTAACTGCTGAAGACATCGAAACTAAGTTCAGAGAAGCCGATCTCCGACGACAGGTAATATTCGCTTGTCTTGCTGACTTTTCTGGTTTTGATTTGATCCATTCAATTTTGGATGTTTCTGTATTCCTCTGGTTAAGTTGTTAGTATTGAATCATTGATCTCAATTGGTTGCATTCTTACAATTTTTTCAATTATTACTATTATTTTTCTAGATCTTGCATTATTTTGTTTTATTAGTTTCAAAATTTTTATGTTTTTTTTTTTTTTGAATTTGATAACGGATAGGCTAAGAGACAAAGGGGAGAATATTTGAGGCAGAGAAGAAACCTGAATAGTCATTTGTATTCCAACTCAAAAATGATCCGTGAGCAGGAGTTCCTTTCAAGAAAGTTAGCAAGGTAAACGTTGCTATGCGTTTGTTTTCAGGTTTTCCTGTTCCTTTTTATCATTTTCCCAATCATTCTCAACTATATTTTGACTCTTTTTGGTAAAGTTAATATCTTTGGTTTGGCAGTTAGCTTTTTTTTTCAAGGGAAAGTTATTTCTGCAGTCTCTGAACTATATGATGCATTTGTAAATTGAGGAAAGTGTGATAATCATCTATTAGTTGCATTGGTTCTACGTACTTTGGAATTATTATCTTTCTCATGTATATCTATTCCAAATTTCAAATAAATAAATGCGGTATCATAAATGATAAGCAAAAGTGAAAAATAATTTCCATATATATATCTGCGTTTTTGTTTTCAGTCGTTTTCCTGTTTCCTTTTTAATCATCTTTCCCAATCATTCTCAACTATTAGATTCGCTTGGGACTCTTTTTGGTAAAAGTTAATATCTTTTGGTTGGCAGCTTAGCTTTTTTTTTCAAGGAAAGTTATTTCTGCAGTCTCTGAACTATATGAATGCAATTTTTGGTAAATTGAAGGAAAGTGGTGATACAACTCATCTATTAGGTTGCATTGGTTCTACTGTACTTTGGAATTATTAGAAATATCTTTCTCATCGTATCACCATCTATTCGCAAATTACTCAAAATAATATATAAGCATGCGGTGATTCATAATGAATATAGGGCAAGTGAAAAATGAATTTCCAATATATAGTATAGTATAATATGAGCTATATAATATACTACCACGTATATAAATAGTATAGGGGTTGTAGTTCGATTGTCATGTCCTTGTAAATAGTGGCGAGAGTTACATTTGTAATTGGATTTGAGTTACAGGTGTCTGAGGATAGCGCCTATTAAAGTAAGATGCAACATATGGACGAGGAAAACGCTACTGTTTCTTTCTTATTGGGCAAAAGGCATCATGCCTTTCAATTTAGACTACTTCAACTGTAGGAAATCTCGTTAAAGATACCTGCCGGATTCTGAGCAGATTGCTACCATCATCGCAAAGTCTGCAAAACTATTGATAATTCTGAAATGCGTCGTGGGTTTGGTTCCGTCTATTCGGTAACGAAGGTCGCCTCAGGATCTTCACAGGCAACTCTTATATATATATGGGATTTGTTGATTGTATGTCTTGTAATTGGGATTATTTTATTGGGAATTTTACAGGTGTTGGAAGCGCTTTATACAATTGAGGAAAACTACTGTTTCTTTGGCAAAAGCATATGTATCATTAGATATTAATGTAGAATCTGTTAAATCACTGCCATTTGAGCAGATTGCTACCATCATCAAGTCTGCAAAAACTATTGATATTCTGAAAGCTCTGGTTGGTCGTCTAGAAAGTCGCCTCAGGATCTCACAGGCAACTATGGGTAGTCAGTCTAGTATAGAGAACATTGATGACCTTCTTATTCTTGTTGCTTTCCCAAGTAATAAGGGCAATTCTAGCAGTACCATCCAGAAAGCTGCAACAACTACCGCGCCTACTAGAGAGGAAGTTCAGGCACCAACCAAGTTATCAAGGTATCCAGTCAGAGTTGTGCTATGTGCTTACATGATTGTGGGACATCCTGATGCAGTACTCAATGGGCAGGGCGAGTGTGAGATTTCTGTGGCCGAATCTGCAGTTAACTTCATTCGAGAGTTTGAGTTGTTGATCAAGATTACAATTGATGGCCCTATTCAATCTTCAAAAGAGGAGGTATCCTCTGGAATTTCAAGTCGAAAGACTTTCAGATCTCAGCTGGAAACTTTTGATAAAGCATGGTGCAACTACCTGCGTCACTTTGTAACATGGAAGTTAAAGGATGCTAAACTGTTAGAGGAGGATTTACTGAGGGCCGCATGCCAACTTGAAATTTCTATGATGCAGATTAGTAACCTCACTTTGGCAGATGATGGAGGTCTTGCTCAAGATATGGAGTCTATCAAGAAGCAGGTAGAACTCGGTTTACCCATGACATAAACTGTCAAAAAACTTTTTCTGAGGCTAATATGTTTCTGAATCATTTTGGTCATGTCAGATTTTGGATGAACAGAGACTTTTAGTGAGAAAATTGCTGCACCTCAGTGGTAATGCTGGACTTAAACGTGTGGAATACGCTCTTGCTGATGCGCGGTCAAAATTTATTGGAGAAAAGTTACCTGGCAGTTCATCAAAATCTCCTATTCCTCAATTTTCACCTTCATCTTCCCCTGGTTCATTGAAGGGATGTCCAGCTTCCAACTCTGTTGAGATAAGTTTTTCAGCAGAAACCTGTCAAGGCTCGAGTGGCATAGTTCACTCCTTATTTGAGGTAGATGATCCTTCTGCAGGCAAAGAAACCAGTTCTTCCTCTCCAAAGAGCACATCTGATGACCATTGGAGCTCCAATGAATTGTTGCCTAGTGAGAATGAATTACTTGTAAATGAAATTATTCATGAACGTTGCCATGGATTTTCTGATAGTCTTAATGCTATCAATAAAGATCAGGACAGTTTTAAGGTTTGTGTGCCAATCTTAGTTATTGCTTTGTTTTCACCAAATTACTTTTAAGTTTTCCAGTGTTTTGCTAGCTTATCAGATAGAGAGTTAGAATCAAGATTAGTTTGATTTAATTATGTTCTATTTCTTCAAAATTTCCTCTATTTTATCCAGTCAGTAGTTTTCTAGGCTGTGGATCAGAGGCAAAAATACCCGTAACTCTTGAGTTCTTGCTTGATTTCATTATGCTATGTTTCTTTCAAATTATCTCATACAGGCAGTAGTTTGCATTTGACATACAGTAGCTAGCCTCTCAAGTGCTCACTTGATTTCATTATCATATAGGAAAAAGTGAAAGATACTATGGAAAAGGCTTTTTGGGATAGTGTTACGGAATCTATCAAAGAGGATGACCCTGACTTTAGTTGGGTTCTTAAACTCATGAAGGAAGTCAGGGATGAGCTGTGTGAGATGTCTCCTCAGAGTTGGAGACAGGAGATTGTTGAGACTATTGATGTTGATATTCTCTCACAGGTAGTTAGAATTCTACAGCTTTCTTATCTGCATCCATGAATTATTATTTACTCAAGCACTAATATTGACTTGACATTTTTTCTTTCATTTGTAGGTTCTGAGATCAGGAACATTAGATATGGGTTATCTAGGGAAGATCCTGGAGTTTGCATTAGTCACTTTGCAAAAACTTTCTGCCTCAGCAAATGATGAGGAAATAAAAAGCTCTCACAATAAGTTACTGAAAGAACTAGGGGACATGTCTAAAGCTCGAGATAAATCAAATGCCTCAGTTTCCCTCTTATTGATTAAAGGTCTGCGTTTCGTCCTGCTGGAGATTCAGGTTTGTTTGTGTTCTCAAGTCTTCTGCAACTACACTTATTATGGTACTTTGTTTAATGATTATGACATGAAAAGGTGGTAAGATTCATTTTTGTGAGATACAAAGCTTTATTTTCCTCTTGCAATCCATGGATGTGTTGTGATGGGTAGCTTTATTGTCCGGCTTCTATAGCGCGTGTGTGTAGTCGTCTCCTAAAATCTAGTGCAGATACTAGAGTATCAATCTGAATTTGTGCATCTTTCTCTCCCTTCTGCATCTCTAGAAATTTATTCCCCCTCTGCCTTTGCCATCATAATTACAGTTGTTTTTTGACAGGCTCTTAAGAGAGAGATCAGCAAAGCTCGAATTAGACTTGTAAAACCACTCATCAAGGGGCCAGCTGGTCTGGAATATCTGAAAAAAGCTTTTGCCAATCGATATGGGCCCCCGACTGCTGCACTATCCTCTTTGACTTTAACAAGGCAGTGGCTTTCATCCGTGTACCCAGTTGCAGATAAAGAGTGGGATGACTACAGGGAATCCCTATCTGCTCTAGGAAATAATGTAGGTTCTTCCCAAGTGCTACTCCCAACAACTCTTCGAACTGGAGGCATGATCTCAGTTGCATCAAAAATTGAATCTACAGCTTCAGGTCTGAATATTGGCTCTTGGGTACCTCATTATCATCATTTTAAAATTGGTAAAAGTATATTGAGTTTGTTTATATACAACGTTGTCAGGTTCTGACCAACCAGAATGCAACGGAGAAAAGATTGACGCATTGGTTAGGCTTAGCTTGTTAAAGCTTGTAAGTCAGGTAGCAGGGCTTACTCTGGAAACTCTGCCTGAAACTCTTAAACTAAACCTCTCCTGGCTGAGAGTTGTCCAGTCACAAGTTCAGAAAATCATAGTGATCTCTACCAGGTTGGTATACATTCCAATTTTATCTTCTTTCTCAATCTAGGATATCTAAATCACAAAGTGCGAACCTGGTTTGGGAAAAATCATTCCCCCCCAGCCCCAATAGTAATAATGATGATAACAATAAATATCCCTGTATGAATAATTGTGTGCTAATAACGTTGATTTTCCCCCCTCAGTATGTTGATCCTCCGACAAATGCTACTGACTGAGAAGTTAGTAACCAATACTTTGGAAATGGAAGATATAGTATCCAAGTGCAGCAAGCAAATGTCGGAGCTGCTAGACAATGTTGAAGATGTAGGGATATCGGAAATGGTTGCTACAGTAAGTAGTTCCTTGAAAGATGGTGGTAATGGGCTTGATGCTGAGAAACTCCAAGCGAAAGAGGAGATTATAGAAAACATGTTGAGGAAGAGCTTACAAGCTGGGGATCCCATATTTATACAAGTGTCCCGCTGTGTTTATCTAGCTTTAAGAGGAGCTGTTTTTGGAGGAACTGGATATAAAGGAAGGCAATTGGTGGTGGCAGCTCTTCACCGAGTGGGAGCTGCACCTCTTGCAGATAGAGTAATTGAGGCTGCCGAAGTTCTGATTGTGGTAGCAACAGTTTCTGGCAGTGTTCATGCAGATTGGTATGAAGAACTGCTTAAGAGTATGTAATTAGTTTGTGAACTGTAATAAGGATGCGTGTATTGTTATGTATACGAGTGCTTGATTATGAAATTGAGTTAAATGTATAGTAGCTAACCTTTATAGTTGATTGAACACTATCATAGGGGCTGATGTTTGAATTATTCATGAAATGCAGTTGTAAATATAATAATAGTTATGCAGATAATCCGTTATTCAAATTGGAGAGTTGAATGTCAATGATAGAATGCTAGCAGTTGAAAACACTCCTATGCGCAAGAGCAAGAGTTAGGTTGTTGATCTTTTGGAAGCAAACTTATGTTCACACTCTATAGGGGTCGAAGTTTTTTTTTTTTTTTTTTCTCTCTCTTTTTGATTTTCGTTTTTCTTTCTCTAGTACTTTGGCTGTAAATTGATTCAAATTTCAATCCCTAGGACATAGCTTCAGGATTTTGCAATGATAATGTTAGATTAGTCGCATGCAAATATGCATAAACATACTAATGTGTGCATATATATATATATATATAGAGAGAGAGAGAGAGAGTTTACAATTACAATCAAAAAAGAAAAAGAAGTAACATATTGGAAGGGTGATAGTTTTGTTAACTAAGCAAAGCATTTTTCTTTCACACTGATGACATCGAGGCAGGGGAAATCTTCAGTTCTCATTCACTGGCCTTCAATCACTAATTTATGATTCGATCTTTGAATTTGACTTGCACTTATAGTGCATACTTCAAATTTGACTTAAACAACGATTTCTTAGTGAAGGTAAGAACAGTTACTAAATAAAATTGAAATATCCAGAAATCAAAATGCAACTACAAATAAAATTTAAACAATTACTACCTCTCTGCAATTCAATAGGTATTGGTAAGCTTAAAACTAAAACTAGCATATGTTTAAAAAAAAAAAAAAGAAAAAAAAAAAAAAGATAAGCTTTTGGTTACTAAAGCAAAGCATTTGTTCTTTCACACTTGATGAACAGTCGAAGGGCGAGGGGGAGATCTTCAAGTTCTCATTCACATGGCTTCAAATAACTAATTTATGATTCGATCTTTGAATTTGAGAGCTTGCACCTTATAGTGGCAATACTTCAAATTTGCACTTAAACAACGATTTCTTAGCTGATGGGTAAGAACATTTACTAAATATTGAATATCCAGAATCAAAATCAACTCACCACGAATAAAATTTAAACAATTTACTAGGTCTCTGGCAATTCAATAGGTATCTGGTAGGCTTAAAACTAAAACTAGGCATATGTTTTAAAAAAAAAAAGAAAAAAAAAAAAAGAAGGAGAAAACTAATAATAATAAATGTTTCTACTAGCAAAATTATTGGTTTTCGCTTGTAATCTATTTCCTAGCCTCAATATAATCTATCCGGCTCTTAAGAACAGTCTCCCTGAACCCCGTGACGATAATAAGTACTGACCGCATAGATCGGCAGCAACATGAAGAAAGCAAGATCGAGTGTCTATGATTGATATCGTCCAATAAGCCAAACTAATAACCCAAAAATTCCTGCACAAACAGATGAATCAATTCGTACGCATCGGCAAACTTTGAATCCAATTTTTAAAACACTGATTTAAGTAATTTTGATTTAAAAAAATATTAAGAGGAAAAAGTCAAAAAAAAAAAAAAGAAAAAAAAAAAAAAAGAAGAGAAAACTATATAAATATGTTTCTACCTAGCAAAATTTTGTTTTCGCTTTAAATCTATTTCTAGCCTAATATATCATGGCTCTTGAACAGCTCATGAACCCCCGTGACGATAATACAGTACTGACCGATAGATGGCAGCAACATGAAGAAAGCAGATGAGTCCTATGATGATATCGTCCAATAAGCCAACTATACCCAAAAATCCTGCAAAACAATGATCCATTCGTCGGTCAAGCAACTTTGAATCCAATTTTAAAACACTGATTAAGTAATTTGATTAAAAAAATATTAAGAGGAAAGTCACCTTCCGGGATAATATCCACAGGGCTGAGAATGTAGACAGCACTTAGTGTCATCTGTTCATACAAAATAGAATAAAAATCCATCCATATTCTACAGGAATGAGTCTGAAGCTCAAACCACTAGTCAATCAGAAATAAAATGCATACTTTTGTTCTTTAATCCATAAAATGAATGCTATTTGGAGAATGAAAAATAGAGGAGGTCTTGAACGTTAAACAAAACAGCAACATTAGATGCATTTTCTCCCACCTAACCAGATCAAATGGTTGCCAAGATGTAATGGTAAAACTGGATATGAAGTTACAAATAATAGCTATCTTGCATATGGTGCTCATTAGAATTACCCTCTGATCCTAGATTAGATCACATAATTATAGCACTTCAGCAATTTGGTTATTTCAGCGAGGCAAAATATATATAAACTAACATTTTATTTTTGCAAATAAATGAAGGATAAACATGTCTTTACAATGTGATTCCCATTCCCCTCTGGAAGCAGGTATAAGAAACTGGAGGATAGAAGTGAGTCATCATTCTGGGTTAGCCAAAAACACCTGAAAACTTTATTCACTGAGCAACATCGAATCTATACCAAGATGAATGCTATTCTGCATAGCTATGAAATGTTGTCATTAGCTTTTGTAACAGCCCCCTCAACCTCAAGGAATAAAACATTTAGGCATACATCAAAGCTGAGCTGGCAGCTGGTAATGTCCTTTATCCTTCATCACAATCATGAGAGATTCACACTAGTTTTGGAATTGTTGAAATCAAGATTACTATCTGAATTCAGACCCTGGCTAAAGCATTTGGATCAACAAGCAACATATATGAAGGTAAACCTAAATACATAAACAAATACATTAACCTGTGGATACCATGATATAATAATTTAATACTTTAATAAGATTTCTTACTAATAAGAGGACCACTGATAGAATTAACTCCGGCCCAAGGCCCTACAAGGTATATATTCTAGAAGAAATAAAGGAGCTGTGATTAAAGGTGTGAGTATTGGGGAACAAGCACAGGAATACATGTCACCAAGTTAGTTATCAAATCATCAGACAGCAGTATTTATGGGAACAAAGAGAATGATGAGGACATCTTTTGGGAATCCAGTTACTTTGGGCAGAGGAATCTGCACAGGCTTGGCCTGGGGCTGTGTTAGCCATTTATCTTCTTCTTCTTCTTGTTTCTCCTATTATTTTTCTCTATTTCCACTTTCTTCAAATCTTGTAGACAGAAAGTTACTCTGATACTTGTAATCACCTTATTTGGATTCATTAATCAAATACAAATCCGATTTCTGCTGCCCCACTGTTCTGTGTGTGTGTGTGTGTGTGTTGTGATGATTTGGTTCTGAGCCTGTTCCTAACTCCAACAACTACCTGTATTTTATGAGTTTGGAGACCAAATTGCAAAGTGCAAACTTAAGTTTTTGCATATAAGAGAGAACTCAAAGCACCAGTGCAAACAAACATTCAAGTTCAATAGGTGGCTCATCTTATGTATAAGCTTAGCAAGAAAATCCACCTGAGACAAGCCTCGGCCAACAAATTGGGAATAGCTACGGGATCCATTTTTCACCATTTTGCTTTGGTTGCAAAAAGGTTTTCTACTAGCTTGTCGCTTTATGATGTTTATCTTTCATGGATACAGAAAATGAAAGAGAGGACAAACGTATATGTACATATAGACACACACTCACATACATGGAATTTAAAAATAACAAAATCAAAGATGTACAATGTGTTACGTGCGAGAGCTAAAAATCTGCAATGAAAGAAGGACAAAAAGAAAAAGAAAAAGAAAAAGAAGCATACAGTAAAGTTGCCAATTTACTTAACTGCAATATAGACACGTGCCCTGATGACAAAAGGAAGTGATCTTTGAGGATCCATCATTTCCCGTAACAACCTTCGTAGCAGAAATGGAAGGTCTTGCATTCGCTGCAGATAAGAGAATACATGTGTCAAAAACTGACATCAAGTAGTTAGATGTGAATTTGATCATAAATGATAAAACATATTTAAAATTTCGTATATCATGATCTAACACCATCAATCAATCATTTTTTTTTTTCATTGACCTTTTCTAATTTTATTACCTTTTGTGCATATGTGTGTGTATAAGAGAGATAAATGGTAACTTCAAAACTAGCTTTTGAAAGAGGAGGACATGGCGAAAAACTTCATCCACTAATTTGGACAAAGTTTATGACTATGTAAAGATCAACTATAGATCGACACACACAACATCGAGAGATACAAAGCAAATTAGATAGACAGAAACAACTGCTACATAAAAGCAGTTCATTGCACACATGACAAAGGGATTATGAACAAGGGAAGGTTCATAATGAAATCAGAATCCACCCCAAACTATTCATAAAGCTCCAAATGATATTTCTTTTTTGACAACTCCAAAATGATATTCTAGATAAATTAAAATATAATTGCAATTTGAGAAATTGGTACAAGCAAATATCAACTTCCCTGGTCAGCAGGAAAAAAATATGCTACTACCCATCAAGCAATTAATGACAGAACTAAGGTAAATGTTCTATAGCTATAAGCAACTAAGGTTAAATCCCTTAGACTTATGCACTTTCTGTAACTTTGCTTTTACAGCTAGAAATCATATTTACTAACATACTTTGTTCGTTTTGGGTCCACAAACAAAAAAAACAACAAAATATTTTAATGCATCCATTAGATGAGAATGTAACTCCAGTCATCAGCAAAATGAGAAAAAACCTGAATGAATAGTGCAACCAAGGAGAATGAAGAAAGAGAATGAAGAAACAGCTTTTTTCTCCTCTACTTTTCGTTTTTCCATTTTATCTAGTAGGGAGAGCAAATATCATATATATGAGACCAGGGCATTGATAAGAGTGCTGAATAGGAGCAAAGATGTAGAATGTGGAATACACAGAAGCAAAGAACATAAACTTAGGCCATTATATAACTTATATACAAAATTCATAAGACATCAACTTTTAAGCATGTATAGAAGTATAAATGAGTCGGAGGAGAAAAGGCTGGGAAAGGGGTAGGAAGTATGAACTGAAACAATCACGTGCACTGATTAGTGTCAAAATTCTCCCTGTTAATCAGAATGCTCCACTTTCTATCGTTAAAATATTTTATCAGGCTCTAGTTCCTTTAGTAGAAAATATTAGCTGCATGAAATAATCTGCTTAAATAAAGGCAAAGATATCATAGCTTGTAAACATACAGACCTGAATTAAACCAGTGGTCTGCCCACCAAAAAGCCGATTATAAGTTTCAACCTTTTGCAGAATCTCAGCAACCTCAGGGTTATGGCGCTCCCTCTGTGAAGCTTCACTAGGGACCAACAATGTGATTTGACGACGACACAGTGGACATTTACATGGTTGAATAGCAGACCCATGATGCCAAACTAGCATAATACAATCACCTACAAAGCATATGAAGGGGGAGGGTAAAATTACTTAAAAAGTTGAATGATATATCTGGAACAAAAACGCATAAAAACATATCCTAATTATCATTTCAATATGCTTAAAAAGATAGACGGATTTATAAATTTTAAGCTCAATAGTAAATAGACATTGGGTTCTTCATTCACATGTTGGCACCTTCATGTAATTGTGATTGAACTGGTAATTTTCCTTGATTTTTACATAAGCAACCTAGGCACTTCAAGGTTAAGCAGAAATGAAAAAATTGACATATTCTGATTAAAAAAAGAAATTCAACTTCATTGAAGACTGCCAATTTAATAATCAAGCACTAACAAATTGAAGGATCATTACTTCATATTAATGAATGTTAGATTCCGCACAAAAAAATATTTCTATTTGAAAATAATTAAAGTAGAAAATAAGAGAAGGAGACAATTTTTTTTTTAGGTTTTGCATTTTTGTTGCAGGGAAACAAGAAGAAAGGAAATTGGAAAAATACCGCAAAACCAGTGAGAGCAATTGGCCTGGCAAGGGACCTTGAACCGTCCATGGCAGACCGAACACCAATCGTTGGCCGGAGGTCCGTCCATTCCCCTCTCTTCTCTTCTCCTTCCTTCAACGCTATAAAATTACACAAAAATCTCTATCGCCAATATTGCTATTTGCTAGTCTTTCTCTCTAAGTAATTTTTTTTTTTTTTTTTTGTTAAGAATTTTTGAGGGTCATAGCTAGGCATGTATAAGTTCCGAATCGAAATCAAACCGATCAAAATTTAGAATCAAACCATGATCCATAGTGAGGGTTGTATTAGATTAAGAGTTGTTAGATTTTAAAATTTCAATAATATTCAATCTAGATTTCTTTAAAATCTATTAAAATTTAGGAGGATGTATTGGATTAAAATTATGTTAGATTTTAAAAAGATTGTTAGAGTTTGATGGAACTAAAGGATTTTCTAAGATTTTCATATATTTCACTAGAATTCTAAGTAGAGTTTTATAGAATTGGTGAGACTTTTTAATAGATTCTAATTGACTTTGATGGAATTATAATGATTTTTATATATCCAATCAAAATTAATTTCAGGATATAATTGAACAAATAAAAAAATTTTGAGTCCAATTGAAAACTTGAAAAACAATGAGGACCAAAAAAATGCATTATCTTCTCTAAAATCATTTTCTTCTTCTTAAAATCTTACCACCATGGATAGTGAAAGTCCTGCAATTGCCAGCGTCGTTGCCGGCCATCCTGCGCCTCTAGAATAGTCACGCGTTACCAAACGATCGGTTCGCTTCAAACTGAACTAAATCGAGATAAAAAAACAAACAAAGTTTTTTATCAGTAGACCAAACAGAATCAAATTTGCCTTCTGAACTGAATTGAATTGAACCAATCAGTTCGACCAAATTTGATCAATTTTGCCTTTTGATTCGATTTTAAGCCTAACCGATGGATTTCTTTGAAACCAACTCAAACCGAATAATAAATTGGTTCAAATTGAATAAACCAACAACCAAACCTTTCTTAAGTTAGCTGACTAAACCAAACCGAAATGAGTTGATTCAATTTTCAATTTGATTCGGTTGGTAAGTTTGCACACCCCTAGCGATTGTCTTGCCAGAAAATCGCATGTTTAAATATTTTTTTTAAATTTAAAACGAAAATTAAAAAAATATACTTAGCACTCTAAAATCCAATGAAATCTTTGGGTTGGAGGATGAATTTGTGAATGACTCTTCTATTTATATCTAGCGCTCTAAAATCCAATGAAATCAATAATTTCATAAAATCCATCCAAATCATCAATTTTTTGAATATCATCGGATTTGTATAAACATTTAAAAAGTCATAATTGAAAACCATTAGATTTTTATGGATTTTATAAGAGTCTGAATTGAATACCATAAAATTTTATAGACTCTAACGAAATCTAGATTGAATACTATTGGAATTTTAAAATCTTTTAAAATCTAATAGTCCTAATCTAATACACCCATCTTAGTATTCAATTCATAAAAATATGATGGTATTCAATTATAATTTTTTAAAAGTCTACACAAATTTAATGACATTTAAATTGTTGATGTAGGTGATTTTATAAAATTATTGATTTGATTGGATTTTAAAGTGCTAGGTATAAATAGAAGAGTCATTCACAAATTCATCATTCAACCTAAAGATTCTGCTGAATTTTAGAGTGTTAGTTATATTTTTTAATTTCATTTTAAATTTAAAAAATTATATTAAACATGCAATTTTTTGGCAAGATAGTCGCTAGAGGTGTGCAAACTTACCGACCAAATCGAATCGACTCATTTCGATTCGGTTCGATCAACTGAATCAGAAAAGGTTCGATTATTGGTTTATTCAGTCTAAGTCGGTTTCATAAAAATTCATTGGTTGGGCCTAAATCGAATCGAAATAGCAAAATCGATCAAATTGACCAAACTTTGATTCAATTTAGAAGGCAAATTCGATGAGTTTGGTCTATTGATAAAAAAACTTCAATTGTATTTTTTGATCTTGATTCGGTTTGGTTTGATTGTTTGCTCACCCCACGACTGTTTTGAAGGATGGGATGGCCGGCGGCGACGCTGCCCATTGCAGACCTTTCATTGTCCACGCTAGTAAGGTTTTAATAAGAAGAAAATGATTTTGGAGAAGATGACACGTTTTTTAATCCCTCATCGTTTTTCAGTTTTTTAATCGGGCTCAAAAACCTTTTAGTTTGTTCAATTAATTCCTGAAAGTAATTTTGAATGGATATATAAAAATTATTGTAATTCTATTGAAGTCAATCAAAATCTATAAAAAAAAAAGTCTAACCAAATTCCATAAAACTCTAAGTAGAATTCTAGTGGAATCTATGTAAATCTTAGAAAATCATTCAATTCCTTTAAACTCAACAATTCTTTTAAAATCTAACACAATCTTAATCCAATACACCCCCTTAAGTTTTTAAATCATAACTGAAGCTGGATTTAAGGTTCGGTTGCAGTTAATTATATTTGATAATTAAAACCGATGGTTTCAATTTGAAATCAGTGGTTCCAATTTGAAATAGTTAAAAAAAAAAGATCACAAATGATTTTTATTATTAAAATTAATTTTAATTTTTACTATTAAATGAGAGTAATTATACCATCACCTTAAAAGTAGTTAATATAAATATAACCCGTGAATTGTAATTGGAAAAAAAGAAAAAACTTAAAAAAATTGTTCCTCATTTAAAAATTTTTAATTTAAATCTTTTACGCTTTATAATATATATTTTTTACATACAAATTATACAATATTTATTTTTTAAAACTCCCTTATAAATTTTTTTAAAAAAATTCTCCTTCACATCTGTAAAAAGAATGGCAATTTGAAGGGTATTTTTTTGAAATAAAAAAATTTATATATTGTAACTTTGTAACTTCTTAATTTCGGTGTTAAATCAGAATCAAACTGAAATCTGCGATTTTAAAATCATCTTTGAAACCGTTTAAAAGCAGTTCGGCTCAGGTTCCACCTTCTTTGAAATCGAAATCAGCAATTTTGCAATCAAAATCGGCGGTTCTGGAACTACGGTCATCCTAGCCATAGCTATGGGTAGGCATAATTATATTTCGATTCAAATCAAAAACAAAATGGAACCGAATCGGTCAAAACCGGTATTAAATCATGGTCAATAGTTTTTAGTTTCAACTTCTAATCGAAACCGTGTACTTAAGGTTCGATTATATTTCTTTATTTTTAAAACGTAACTAGCGGTTTGGTTTAAAATTGCGATTTCAATTGAAACCGTGAACAATGTGTTTTTAAAAAAACTTGCAATTTATTTTTTATTTTATTATAATTTTTTAAAATAAAATTTAAGAACTCTTATTAAATTAGTTTAGTCTGTTTCAATAGTAATATTTATTATTATTTGAAGAAAATCTCGGGAAAAGAAGAAGTGACAGTAGATAATATTTGAGATAACTGGAGAACTTAATTTTTATTGATTTACTTCAGCAATATATATAATAAAGATGACAACTAACAGAAGCTAGAAAATAGGAATAATAACAAACCACTAATCACACTACTAACAGCCCTTGAAACTAGGACAACTATCCAGGAATACTAGCCATAGCTTAAGGGGTAGAGCATAATTTATATTTCGATCTCAAATACAAAAACAAATGGAACCGATCGGTCAAAACCGGTAATTAAAGTCATGGTCAATAGTTTTAGTTTCTCAACTTCTAATCGACAACCGTGTACTTAAGGTTCGTTTATATTTCTTTATTTTTTAAAAACGTAACTAGCGGTTTAGGGTTTAAAAATTGCGATTTCATTGAAACCGATGAACAATGTGTTTTTTAAAAAATACTTGCAATTTATTTTATTTTATTATAAATTTTTTAAAATAAAAATTTAAGAAGCTCTTGATTACAATTAGTCTTAGGTCTGTTTCAATAGTAATATTTATTATTATTTGAAGAAAAATCTTGGGAAAAGAAGAAGTGACAGAGAAAATAATATTTGAGAATAAACTGGAAGAAACTTATTTTTACTTGATTTACTTCAGCAATAATATAATAAAGATGTAGAGACTAGAACATAGGTAATAATACCACTAATCAATATAGACTTGAAACTAGGACAGCTATCCAGGAATAATTCAAATATATAATATAAAGAACTTAATTAATTTAACAGTAAAATACAGCAAACATTATTCAGAATTATTCAATTATTATTATTATTATTAATCTATTATTATTTTAATTATTTATTCAAGCTAAAAATCTAAAAAAAATTTAAATTATTTAATTTCGGTTCAAAATCGAAACCCGCGATTTCAAAACCGTTTTAGAAATTCTCCAAATGCAATTTAGTTTTGATTCCACCTTTTCATAATTGGAATTGACACCGTTTTAGAAATTCTCCAAATGTAATTTAGTTTTGATTCCACCTTTTCATAACTGGAATTGACAGTTTCGAAATCGAAAACCAAAGTTCTAGAACTATAATCATGTCTAACTAGGGGTAATCGATCTAGTTTGGTTTTTTTTTTTGTTTGGTAATTCAAATGTTCAGTGCGGTTTAGGCTTGAAATTTTGTATAAATTTGATTCAGTTATAAACGTTTATATATGATTCTAATTTAAAACCGATTAGGATTAACCAAACCAAACCAATGTGTTTAGTTTAATTTTAAAAAAACTTCGGTTTTCGGTTGAAGAAAAGAGGAAAGTTTGGTCCTTTTGTCCCGATTGACATCCTTAATTATAATTCAAAAAAAAAAAAAAACATTATTCTTGTTTTGTTAAAAATATACTTTTTTTTTTTTTTAAGTTAAAATGGGAAATATTTTATTATGAAATCAAGAAATCAAGTAGAACAGGAGGTGGTATAGAATCCCAGGAGGTGGTATAGAATCCCAAACTCCCAAGCCAGCTTCGAAATGTGTTCCAACTGCTAACCTATGTGCAGCCACATTCGCAGACCTATAAATAAAATTAAATTTGGCGACTGGTATCTCAGACAAAAGAGATCTGCAGTCCTGAATTATCAAACCAAAAGCAGACGAATCATTTGTAGAATCATTGTTGATGGCATTGGCAACTGATTGAGAGTCAATTTCCAACAAAATATAATTCCATCCGTGATCCTTGATCCAGCTCAAAGCTTCTCGCACGGTGATGGCCTCCGCCACCGTAGCACTGAA